ATTAAACCAAACCAAGGTGTTGTCTCTACCCCTTCTTACCCTAATCCAAATTTAATTCCCTTTGAAGGGAAAGGGTGAAAAAGATTCATATCCTATATGTGGTCTGTCCAAATACAGAAAGAAACCTTGACTTGGAGAGAAACCATCAAAACAGAGTAAGCAGCTGTATAGCTTTGCCACACTGCCTAGCACCCTCCCCATGCAGCCATCCTTAGCTAGCGGGGTGGGGGGGGGGGGGGGGGAAAAAAAAAAAATAAAATCAAGGCCCTTTCATTCCTTGTTTCTCATTCTGCCAAATTCCCCTTTCCAGTAGCTCATTTGCATGCATTCTGGCCACAGAGACAATTAATCCTTCCCCCCCACCTTTAAAAAAAGGCTTTATAATAACTAAGAATTTGAACACAACGTGATCAGTTACAAGTATTTCTTTGCTGAATGGGACAAGTGTGTACCTGTGTGTGTGCATGCACACATGTGTCAGAGGAGGGCACGTTCCCAGCCATGCCCAGGAGTGTGCCATTGCTCCAAGTGCATGGCTGCTGAGTGCTACTACAGTACACCGGCAAAAGAGGAAAGGGCACTACACAGAAATAGCTTATCGGCTGAGAATCTCTGTACAGGAAGGGCTGCAAGCACAGCCTGCTGATGGCCGACGGCTGGAGTCTGCATAGATCCTCGTTTGCAGTTCAGCTGCCAGGAGAATCTATAAGTAGGAGCTGAAAGGGACCAGCAACTCTGCCACACGCTGCCAGGAAAAGAGGCAGCTAAAGTGTCAAACCCAAAGAAGAGCAATTGAAAGATCAAGCGGAAAACAGTTTGAAGCCTTGTCAGAAGAAGAGTTCACTTGCCACAGAGCAGGTAAGAATGGCTGCTGTGGCTAATGCAGCAGAAAACACCCATTCGACCTTTGAAGGCAGAGTCAGTGGCTTCTCCCCAGCCCCAAAAGGAACCAGGTCAGGCATAGATCCCTGCTGACAGGGCAAGAAAGGCCAACCAACACCAATTCCCTTACTGGCCCAGGCCAAGAGAGGCAACTGTTAATCACCACCACAACACAGAGACCACTGCAGTCAACTGCATCCTGCTCTGGCCCAGGGGAGGGCTATCAGATAACCAGATTCTTTTCACAGTCCAAGAAGGGCAGTTCCCTTCCTGAGCTCAAAAAAAAGAAGAAAAAAAAAAGAGGCTTTGTATTCCAAGCTCCAATAGTGACTACTTGCTGAATCAGTCTAGCGAACTGGAATTATGCTCCTGGAACAGCAAGTAGAAGCCTCCTCCAGGTAAAATCTAGAACCTTTAAAGTGCTCCTGCTAATGCTAATAGATGAACACTGCCCTTCCATGCCCAGCAGTGGAAGGGCGTAATGCAGTTAGTGGTATATCAAGCACTAGCATTAAACTGTTTATCAACTCCCATCTGGATTGCGGTAGTTTTCTGAAATGCACTTTTGGGAGATATTTCCTATGAGAAGAGGATGTTCGGGAATTTGAGGGTTGAAAGGTGAAGTGTACACCATAGCATACCTTGTTCAGTAAAACCGTTGCCTTGGAAGGTGATGTTCCCTTGCAGAGTCAATGGAATAAAGCATCCTGTAAGTGGCCATTTCACCGTGTCACCAACAAGCAGCTCTTGGTTTGGTTAGAATGGTTTCCCCCTCCCTCAGTGGTCTGAAGAGTTCACAGTGGTATAACCCAATGTTTTGGGGAGACAGAAGCTGAGGAGTCCCCTGCTGCAAGTGAATGGGTGGAGTGAGGGATGCAGATGAGCAACATCCTCTAGGACTAAGGATAAGCCCAACAGACACCTTGTGTCTGATCAGAAACAGGGGGAAGGCAGGCACTGGAAGAACCGGGAAGTGGACAAGGGTAATGCCAACACAGGGAAAGTGCATGATCTGGAGTGGTCTCGGAGCAGTTCTGCAGTGCAAATGTATGGGGAGGGGTGTGGAGAAATCCCTTCTGGAATGCTGCATGAAGAGAGGTAAAGGTTGGCATCCATGTGGCAGCGGACTGGGTAGGGGGCCAGTTTCCAGCAGCTCTACCCTGTTCTTCACATTTAGTGGGTTTCAATCACCACTGGCTCGTAAACTCCAGATGAGACCCTGGGGAGGCAGAGGGGAAGAAGATGAGAAAGCCAGGTTATTTTCCTCAGTCACTTAGAGCAAGCAAGTTCTTATTCAGAGCGCTCTGCTCACAAACATCGCCCTCTAACCCCATACAAAATACTGAAAATAACGACTCAGTCTGGCGAGAAGTCAACCCTCATAACACAAAACAGACAGCTACGTGGCAAGCTAACACTAGAGCACTTGAAAGAGCTGGGTGTAACACATGAACCCTTCTAAAGGACAGAGGAAAGGGGGGAGTATCCTGCGCAGAGCCAGTGTTCCTGGCTTTGCTGTGCTCCCAGTTTCGTCGCCAACTTGACACATCTTTGTATTACCATTATAGTGGTTTTGTTGTCTTTTTTTTAGCCTCAAAAGGTACTATAAAGGCTCAAACACAACTAGCCAAGACGCTGTACTAAGAGCTATTGTGGCAAGAAAAAGTTTTATTCGGTTAGAAGTCTTTCATGAGAGAACAAGATGACAACGGAGGAGGCAGGGAAAGGGACAATAAACCACACTGCTGCAGTTTTGGTGCAGGCCCGCAGGAGGCAAAGCTTCCTGCTTTCAGTCGGGCACAGGAGCAAACAGGAACCAACCTCTACCATTTTGTCCTTTTACTCCTCACTTCTGTTCTTGGACCTAACAACTAGGATCACATTATCCCTCTGAGCTCCTGCTGAGAACTGCATTCATACTCCAGTGCAGCTATAGCCTGTCACCAAAGGGATCCCAGGAGCGTAAATGTGGGAATAAAGTCACCATGTGGCACATGATAATTAGAAATCTCTCCTGTAGCAAAAGGTGAAAGTTTCCTGGTTACAGAGAGCTAACTAATCTCTCTGGAGCCCCTCTGTCTGCCAGCCTTTCAGGAAGCCTACCTGTTTCCCAGCTGAATACCACTCAATGTAGTTGTTCCGTCTCTGCTCACAAACAACCTCAGGTTACTGTCTGCAGATAGAAAAGGGAGTAAGACATCAAAATCCAGAACTACTGACAGCTGCCAGGTGCTCCCCTCCCAGACACATAACACAATGGTC